AGTCATCTCACCAAGTGTGCTGCGTTGCGAATTGCTACACGCCACGCCCCCTTTCCTCACCCTTGCCCTCATCCCCCCAACCCCTGTCCTCGTTCCCCTACCCCATGCTCTCCTTCCCCCACCCCATGCTCTCCTTCCCCCAACCTGTGCCCTCCTTCCCCTAACCTGTGCCCTCCTTCCCCCAACCTGTGCCCTCCTTCCCCCACCTGTGCCCTCCTTCCCCCAACCTGTGCCCTCCTTCCCCCACCCCATGCCCTCCTTCCCCACCCCCTCGGTTCAGTTTGTGGCCATCACAATCGGTTCTCCAGTCATTCCTGTTTTCGTCACTCCAACCCCACCCGTTCTCTTACTGTGCCAACCCACCCTTAATCGGCTCTGCACTAAAACTATGTAATTCCCCAACCCAACCAACCCCTGCGTGTGCAGATCACGGCTCTGGACCTTCTGAGGAGGAAGAGCCCCGTGCCCCCATCCATTTTCCGCCACCTGAGGCAACTCCACTGCCCGCACCCTCACCACCTGCACCCGCACCAGCTGCACCCGCACTCGTTGCACATGCAGCACTGGCAGCAGCGGCCGCACCAGCGGCTCTTTCAGCTACACCTCTGTCGTCAGCCACACTGGCATCAACACCCCCAGCTGCACCTGCAGTGCCAGCTGCACCAGCTGCAGTTGCAGTGCAGTCCGCACCAGCAGCAGTGCCTCTAGCAGTGCACAGTGCAGGTGCAGGAGTGGGTGTGGGTGAGGATGATGCGTTGTTGGCAGGCGGGCATGAGGAGGGCGTTGGTGGGAGATGGCGGCGAGGAGGAAAGAATGGTGGGGGAAACTGAGCAGGGGGATGAAGGGAAGGAGGGGAATTGAGGAGGGAAATGAGAAGGGAAATGAGAAGGGAAATGAAGTGAAAAATGAGGGAATGAATTGAAAAATGAGGGAAATGATGTGGATGTGGGACAAGGGGAAAAAGGCGAGGAGGAAGAGGAAGTGGGTTGCCTGGGACGGATAGTGCAAATGAGTGTGGGGCGAGCATACTAGTGGTACGGTCTGGAAGCATGGCTGCGGGTTGCTGGGTGGGTGTGGTGGTGGTGGTGGGGATGGGGATGGTGATGGTGATGGTGATGGTGATGATGGTGATGGTGATGGTGATGGTGATGGTGATGGTGATGGTGATGGTGATGGGGATGGTGATGGTTGATTATGTTGCTGGTGATGGTGATAGTGGTAGTGATGGGGATGCTGGAAAGAGACGAACGTGAGTGTGCTGGCACCCCAGGCGCAAGAGAGTGCTGGTGGTGCTGCGGGTGGGGTCACTATTGCTGACAGCGGCACTGCTGCTACTGCCGTCACTGCCGTCACTGCCGTCACTGCCGTCACTGCCGTCACTGCTACTGTCATCACTGGATCTTCTGATATGCATGAAGGAGAATCGGTGGTCAAAGAGAGGGATTCGGGAAGTGAGGGTTTGCAAGGCGGAGAGGGAGGGGTGGTGGGCTGCGGAGGGCTGAGCCCCCCTTTGGAGGGCCTTCCACTGGAGGCAGACAAACAGGAGGGCGAGCTGTCGCAGCAGGAAGCAGAGCAGGAGCAGCAGCAGATGCAGGGGCAGAAGCAGGAGGAGCAGCAAAGAGTGAGTGTGCTTGCCGTCTCCGATATGAAAGCTGGGGGTGATTATGTTGGCAGGGGCGCTGGCCTTGCTGCCAGGCGTGGTGGTGAGAGTGACAGCTCAGTTGCCCTTGCTGCATGGTTGTAGGGGCTACGCCTGCAGGGCAGTGCAAGGAGGCACGCGGGTGTTGAGCGAGGACGGGGTGAGCAGGGAGGGTGGTGAGCGCAGCGCGGCGGCTCAGGTGGGCAGAATGAGCAGGAGAGGGGGGGCGGCACGGGAGGGGCGAGTGAGCAGGGAAGCGCGGGTGAGAGGGAAGGGGGCCCAGAACAACAGGTGGGAGGCAAAGCGGCGGGTAACAGGTGTGCTGAGGAGCCGGGGGTGGAGGTGGATGGAGAGAGGGAGGAGGGGGCGGACGAGGGGGTGGCGGGGATGCAGTGGTGTTTCTAGGAGTAGGTGGGGTGGAGAAGGGGAGGGGATGTGGAGGCACGGGCAGCTGAGGGGGAGGAAGTTGAGGATAAGAGGGGATGAGAGGGCGGAGGAGGGGAGGCGGGTGAGATTGGGAGGGCGAGGAGGGAGGCAGAGAAGGCTCGTTGTGCCAAGGGCAGGTGGCCGCCACACGGTGCGTTGCATGTGGAAGGGGGGGGGGGGGGGGGGCGGGGGGGGGGAGGGGGGAGAGAGGGGAAATTGGGGGCAAGGGTGGGCGAACGGGGAACTGGTGTGTTTGAGCCAAATCAAAGCACACATCGTTGCGTCGAAAGCATGTGGTCGTCACATGGGTGTTGCATGCATGGGCACTGGTGGGGGAGTGGGGGGTGAGGGAGACAGGGAACCGGGGGGTGTGGGGATACGTGTGTGTAGTGTGTGCGTTTGTTTGTGGGTGTGTTTGCTTCATTACTTGTTCATCTCCATCTTGCCTACACCCACACCTTTGCTACGTCCACCTCTATCACCTCGTATGCAGGAGCAGCAGGAGGGCGAGCAGGTGCATGGTGCAGCGTTGTCTGGTGGTGCCGTCCCAGCAGCATCCGCACCCAGCAGTCTGCGAGTTAAAGCCACAGAGGTGGATGGGATGGCGTTAGCTGGTAGCAGCACAGGGAGGGGGCGGGGACGCAGGGTGTGGGGCGAGGGGTTGGAGGAGGTGGGGGCAGATGAGAAGAGCGTGGGTGGAGGAGGGCTGCTGGGAGGGGAGGAGAGTGGTGTGGGGAGCGAGGAGAGGGGTGTGGGAAGGAGGAGAGGGAGGCAGAGGAAGAGCGAGAGGATGAAGGATGAGGACTATTTCTGGGCCCGATTGATGCTCCAGAGGGTGGTGGTGGTGGGCTAGACGGAGACGACGAGCAGGAGGCGGAAGAAGAGGAAGAGGAGGAGGGAGAGGAGGAGTATGAAGAGGAGGACGAAGAGGAGGAAGAGGAGGAGGATATAGAGGAAGTAGATGAGGAGGACGATTTGCTGCTTCGAAGACGCTGAGGGTAACGTCACGTATGAGCAGCAAGGGCAGTATGTAGAAAAAAGGGAGATGGCACGTGCTGAGATAGCATGCGCTGAGAAGGGTGCGGGCGAGGTGGGCGAGGGGAGGGAGGGAGATGTGCAGCACAACCCGAGGCATGGAGAACTGGGGCAGCGGAGGAGAGGGTATGGCGGCCAGGACCTGTGCCACCAGAGCAGAGGGGGAGGAGGCCTTGGTGTGGGCTTTTCTGTGGAGAGTGGTGGAGGGCGAGAGGGAGGAGGGGAACGAGTGAGAGAACGAGAGAAGGATGTGGTTCGGCAGGTTCGGCGTGACATGGTTCGGTTGGAGGCTCGGTTACCGTGGCTCGGGGTGAGGTCCGGGTGGAGGAACCGAAGGTCGGCGTGGCGGAGGGCAGTTAGAGACAGCTGTAGCGCTCTGGTTGGTTCCTTCTCTCTCTGTGTTGTTTTTTCCCTTTTCATTTGATATTCCTGTGTTCCGTGTTTTCCTTGTCTGTTGCTCGTCTGCATGGAGACATCTTGAAGCTCGTTGTGAGCATGTTCTAAAGAAGCGCCCATGTACCATGCCCATGTACCATGCCCATGTACTATGCCCATGATCCGGCATATGGTATCACTCTGCTTGACCCCGTGAGGTGAGTCAAACGCTGACCACCGGGACTTGTAATTCTCGGCCTACTTGCTTGCTCAGCCTCGTTGCTGACTCTGCCTCGTGACCTTGACTCATTGCTCTCGCTCAACACCAGCTGTGCCAGCCTTTCTCTTTAGCCCTTGAAGCTGGTCCGTTTCTTCTGTGCAATATCATTCTCCCTGTATGCCATCCGTTCGTCTCACTCACTTGTCCCAAGTGCACCAGGCCTCGACTGCCTGTGCTGTGTTGTGTTGTCAGCGAATCAAGCATCTCACAGCCACCTGCTCCTCCTGTCGTCACACACCACCACCATTGACCCGCCCCTCAGCACTCTTGTGATCCAACATAGGTCCATCTCACCTCACCTCACTACACTCCTCCGTGCGCCCCCCAACCGCACTGGGCAGGAGTTGGTGCATAGGCTGGACGAGTTCCGCTCGCACCTGCTGCTGCACCACGCTGCTCTCCTCTCCGACCATCACTGGGCCCTCCGTGTTGCTGCCGCCTCCGCTGCCGCTGCCTCTTCTGCTCCCGCCACTGCTGCTCCTGCTGCCCCTGCTGCTTCTCCTGCTGCCCCTGCCTTGTCACTGCCTTTTCTGCTCCCACTACTGCTGCTCCTGCTGCCCCTGCTGCTTCTCCTGCTACCCCTGCCCTTGCCACTGTCTCTTCTGCTTCAACTGCTGCTGCGCCTGTCGCTGCCCTTTGCTGCCGCTGCTGCCGCTGCTGCTGCCACCACTGCTTCCGCCACTGCTGCCACCGCTGCTGCCGCTGCTCCTGCGCCTGCTCCTGGTGGGGTTGACAATCGTGATGCCCGCTTTGATGCCACCTCTGCTGCTGCTGAGGACATTAAAACTGCTGGTGCTGACGTGGCAGGATGGCGTGCTGCCACCTGTCACGGCATGCTGTTGGAGCTGTGGACACGTCTGCATGATGACGTCAGCAAGTGGCTTGAGACTCGGCCCAAAGAGGCTGTTGGGAACGTGTGAGTTGCTGGCATGGTGGCATGGTGGCATGATGGCATGATGCTATGGTGACGTGGTGGCATGATGGCATGATGCTATGGTGGCATGGTGGCATGATGGCATGATGCTATGGTGGCATGGTGGCATGATGGCATGATGCTACTATGGTGCCATGGTGTGAACACAGACGGCAAAATTGTGAGCACACTCCTGAACGGTCTTCCTCCTCCTTTGCCCTCTTTCCATCTCCCGCACTCACATCTTCCCCTTCTCCCTTTTTCGACCTCGCTTTCTTCCCCCCTGCTTCCACCTCAGTGCGTCAGCAGTGGCCGCACTGGCACGCCACACAGCAACCTCCCCAGCACACGCCACCCTGCCATCGCTCTCCTCCTCCCGCGCCCTGCCTCCCACCAACCCCCCTGTGGAGGCACTCTTCCCCTGGGTGGCTCACTTGAAGCCACTGCTGCCTGCACCCGCCCTCACTGCTGCAGTGGCCGTGGCGGCATCTGAGGCAGCAGCTGCTGTGAAGGGCGATGCGAGGAAGTTAGAGGTCTGTACTTCTACCCCCTCTCCCTCGCTCGTTCAAACATTGTCTTCTCCCCGCCCTCCACTGGTCAGCATTCGCCTTGTCATGCTGTATCCTCCCTTTCCTGCCCTGATTTTCCTGTTCTCTTTCTCGCTTTCTCTCTCCTGCATCTGCACCTGCAGGTCTTGCAGAGCGTTACTCTGCAGCTCATTCTCTCTCACAACCCTGCTGAGCTGGCAACGATTCGTGCAGCATTGGAGAGGGAACGGCGCCACGTCAGCGCTATGCTTGCTGACATGGACCAGCCAGCCAATCTAGTTACCGCTGCTGGCAATGCAGCTGCCGGTGCTGCCACTGCTCATGCTGCTGCTGCTGCTGCCAGTACTGTCCGCCCCACAGCTACCTCTGGTGCTGTTACCTCTCAAGTTATCACCCCTGCCGCTCCTCTTACCTCTACTGCGCCTGCTGATTCACCCCTTCCTGCTGCCACTACTGCCCCTCACTCTGCGTTGACCACCCAACCTCTGGTTCGACCACCAGCCCCTCTCACCCCTCCTCACCCAAAACCGCCAGGTATGGTGAGGGGAGGCAGGCGAACAGGGGGAAGGGCTGCTGCGGGTGCTGCGGGTTCTACTGCTGCTGCTGGTGCTGCAGGTGGTGCAGCAGAGGGCATAACAGGTGTCGTTTCAGAGACAGGAGGTGATGAGGCAGGGACTGCAGCAGCAGTGACTGCTGCAGCAGCAGTACCAGCAGGACCAGCACCACCACCAGCAGCAGCAGCACCTGGAAGTGAGCAGCGAGTGAGGAAGAGGTCACATGCATCTCGAGCCGCAGAGGAGCTCAGGGACAAATCAGTGCTGCTGCAGCAGGAGCCGCAGGAGGTGGGTGAAGAGGGGCTCCGGGGGCGTGTGAAAAGGCGAAGGGGAGCCTCCATGCGACCGCATGGCGAAGGGCTGGACGGGAGCCATGCAGGTGATGCATTGGAAGCGACCGATGGGCCAGGTGGGACAGGTGGGACAGAGGGTGGCATGCAGGCAATTGTGGAGCAGGCATCTTATGGCCCACACGGCGTTCGTGGTGGTCGCATGGGGACTGCTGATTCTGCTGCTGGTGCAGAGGCAGGGAGAGCAGGTGTAGGAAGGAGGTCGTTTGCTAGAGCAGGGAGTGCAGGAGCAGGTGCAGTAGAGGGGGCATCAGTAGAAACGGCAGGAGTGGCAGCAGCATCTGTAGCATCTGGTTTGGGTAGACGGGTGCGGTACAGCGCAGGTGCAGCAAGAGCGCCTGCATCAGCAGCAGCAGCATTGATTGCCCGGAGGCGAGGGATACGAGGCATGGGGGGGATGGGGGGGATGGGGCAGAGGCAGGGAGGTGCCGTGTGGGGCAGCAGGGGAAGGCGGTTGGTGAGTGGTGTGGCTTTGGGCGTGGGACGATGTGGGAGGGGTGGGAGGGGAAGAGGTAGAGCAGGGAACGGTGGTGCTTTGGTTGAGGGAGTAGAGGCAGAGGGAATGGGTGTCAGGGGAGCAGGAAGGGCAGGGTTGGGGGGAAGTGAAGGGGGTGATGAGAGGAGAGAGGGGCAGTGGGGAGTGAGTGTGGGAGGAGAGGGTGAGACAGGCAGGGCGAGGGTGGGCGGAAGAGGAGGCGAGGAGTGCAGATCGGTGCTAAGGGACGGATAGCAACAGCGGGAGCAGCGGGAGCAGCAGCAGGAGCAACAGGGGCAGCGGGAGCAGCAATAGGAGCAACAGCAGGTGCAGTTGGGGGGGAAATCCTGCCACGAGGATTACAAGTAACTTCTGCAGATTCTCTCACTGACCCGGCCACTGCTTACAGTCACCATGGCAGCACCTCCGTACAGGCACAGCCTCGCCCTCTCTCCACACGCACGCTCCGCTGCTCCCCTTATCCCGCGCCAGCAGAGCCAGGTTCGGACGACGAGTCCGCAGGTTCGGAAGACCTTGGGGATTCGAGCCTGGGCTCTCCAGGCGGCTCGGGGGAACTGCCTCGGGTTCTGTCCCTGGGGGGACTGGGGGGTCTAGAGGGGATGGAGGGGATGGGGTTTGAGGGGTTTGATGGGGCGATTGACCTGGAGGACATGGCTGAACTGGATGATGCTGCTGGGCTGGGGTTCGACTGATGATGATGGCGTGATGGTGTTAGAATGATGACGTTGGGGTGATGATGATACACCATTGATGTGAATGTGACGATGAGGACTTGGGGGGGTGAACGAACAAACAGCTACCTGGGTGAAGCAATTCTGGGCGTGGGAAGAAGTCATGGCGAGAGGGGCATAACAGCATTGAGGTGTGGAGCTAAGAGTACATACATACATAGTAGTACTTCAGTGTAGCTGTTCTGGTCAGTTAGAGATTCTGCAGAGGTACTGGTTGAGTAAATGCTTAGCCTCCATATAGCATCAGAGCCGTTTAATGGCAAAGAGTGTAGTGTAATGCTCAGTCTATTCTTTTTGTTCATCGCGTAACCTCTGATGCGGTTGTCGGTTGGTCAACAGTGGCGACCGTTGACTACAGCGACTGTTAACCTTCGGGTAACTCTCGAGCTGCAGCGTGCTTTGTATGAGCATATCTCGATACTAGTACACCGCGTTGCTTCGATATGCACTGTTGCGCTTCGAGAATCTTCATTCATGAAGGTGAGCCATGTGAAACTTCTTCGAGATCCCGTAGATATTGGTGCAGTGCCGAAAGTTCTGTGGTAGTAGTTTGTTGGTCAAGAAATCAGCTGCCATGTCACTGGTTGGGCAGTGTGTGAGTTTGACCTTGCCCTTGTCGATTTCGCCCTTGACGAAGAAGTAACAGAGTGCGGTGTGTTTCGTGCGGTTCACCAAGCCGAGCTTGTTCCGACCCTGATCGCGCTCTGATTGTCGCCGAGTAACGTGAAGTGTCCGTTCATTGTCACTTTTGCTTCCTGCAGGAGCTCCACCAGATACAGTCCTTCGGGAACAGCTGTGCTGGCGATGATGAACTCAGCTTCAGCTAACGACAGAGCAATGAGTTCCTGCTTTTGGGAGTTCCAACAGATGAGTTCAGCAGGTTGGAGTTGAAAAGTGAAGCACGTGTGGGAGCGTCTGTTATCAATGTCTCCCGCATGGTCCGCGTCTACGTAGCCGTAAGGCTTCATGGTAGCAGTTAAGTTAGCTTCGTAGGTGACTCCGATGTCAGGGGTGGAGATGAAGTATAGAAGTGCTCGGCGTAGATCTAATAGATTCTCCCCTTCAGATCGCTACAGGTACTGTGCGAGCTGGCTTGCGACGTAGGAGAGATCCAGCCGGCACGTGACGGCGGCGAACCAAAGGCACCCTAGCTGCTGCTAATAGAGCCGATGGACTTCGATGGAAAGCGGCGTTTTGTCAGGTTCATGATTAGGAGGAGTGCGGAAGGGGGTGGTGAGGTTGATTGGGGCGATGGGGAATTTCTTCGCAAGCGTTTCCACGTATTTGGCAGCCGAGAGGTGGATAGAGGTGGCGGACGGGGTAATGTTGAGACCTAGAAACTGCGTGACGTTGTGTAAATACTGTTGCCAGAGCCAAGGGGCTTGCTTAATCCCGTAGAGAGATTTCTGGAGGAGGCAGACTGCGTCGTCGCTTTCTTTGAGCGTGTTTGGCTGTTCGATGAAGATGATGGCGTCGACAAGAGCGTATAGAAACACGCTTCCTACTCGATTTGTCAGAGTGGCCGTTGCTTGACGGCTGCGATGCAGATGAGAATGCGAAGGTTTGATTGTTGTCCACCAGGTACATTTGTTCGAAGCCGCGCACCACCCATCTTGCATTGTGTTTGTCGATGGAGTAATCTGCGAGGGTTTTGAATCCTGAAGACCCATTTGCCGCTTAATTTTTTTCTCCCCTTTGCAGATGATTGGGGAATAAGCTTCCACGTTCCGCGGCGCTTCAGTGCTGCTACTTCTGCCGCCATGGCTACCTTCCATTTCTTGATGTCGGGTCCTGAGAGGCCCTAGCGCGCGGTGGTGGGCTTCTTGGGTGAGGTGTGGCAAACTACGACGGCGAGACCGAGGATGCGAAGGCCAGTCATTGGTCTTTTAGTAGGCGATGTGATCGTAGTCGTGGTAGCTGGTTACTTCGACAACGTCGTCGTCGCTGTCGTGGGCAGAGCGGATGGTGTCTTGCGAAGGATTCTGCTGTGGTAACTCAGCATCCGGGGATCGGCGGAATGTGCTGTTGTAGTTGTGGGCTTCACGGGTTGTATCATTAGGTCGTCTGGTGCATCTACATCCTCTGCTAGGTCTGCCTCATCTTGTCGGGAAAGGGCTTATGAGCGAGTGACACTGTGGGGCAGACGAGGCATGGTGGGTCATCTGAAGTTGCAGTGAGGGTACCACCTCTAGGAAGCAGCAGTGCGTCCGATTTGAAAACTCCAGCCGCGATTGATGTTTTTTAGTGTGGCGTGTGAGGGATGTCCGAGACATTGATGCCAAATTTCTGGTTCCGCGCGGTAGCTGGCCGTCTTCTAATAATATTTGTTTCTCTCTGCTTCATCTTGCTGCCCTGTGTCAGGTCCCTTGTCGACGGCGGCGTCCACATCAGCTGCGAAGGCTTGGGCGGAGATTCGCTCTAGAGTAGCGTCGGGGATGTCCGTGACATCGTCCGTATCGGCAGCATGAACCGGCTCGCCGATGAGCAGTAGGAGCTGCGGAGGTAGAAGTCGAGCTGCTTCTGGCCAATCAGAAGCGGAAAGACCCTCCATTGGAACACGATGTTAGAGATATTCGTCGCCGGCGATCGGAATCAATTGAGGTCCTTGCTCCGGCGGCGGTGCTTCCTCACTTGGTCGAATTCTCAAGTCATTTCTTCTGACTCTTCTTGTGTTGCTTGTGGTGTGTTTGGAGCACACTGGTATGGGAGAGGAGGTCCATCGCCAACTTGTGCCGCGCATGGCCCAGTAAGGGTCCAATTCCGCCACCGCTGCAATAGGATGCGCTGGTGCTTCGGGATAAGGAGGGCTTTTTGGCCACTTCTAGTCGCGTGAAGTTAAAGTTCAACACCCGCCTCCAGAAGCAGTTCCTTCTGCTGGTGTTTCGACGACTCCCCATGCACCAACGGTGGGTCTGGGATTGGTCTAGCTATGTGAGGCCGGTCCTGCTATTCCCCATCCTCCAATGTTAGTTTGCTCTGAAGTTGCTGGCTCTTTGCTAACTTCCTCTTGTTCCATAGTCGCAGGTCCAGTATTACCAGGGGTGGAGGTTGAGGCAGTTGGAACGGCACGCAGGCAAAGAAGTCCATCTGAAGCGGGCCGTTCGAGATCCATTTCCTCGGGGAGTGACCAGGTCGACAGCTCCGCGAGAGTCGTTTTTAGCAGAAGAGTCCGATCAGAATTGCCAGTGGTGCCCTGAGCTGAGAAGTTCAAGACAAAGACTCCGTCGACGTCGACAGCCTTGCCGTTGTGTGTGTTTTTGTAAAACAATTCGAGGTTTTTTCTTCACAGTTGCTACGAATGCAACTCCGCACCTTATGAGTTGTGCCGAGGAGAGCAAGTTGTACTGCAGATCAAGAACGACCAGCACGTCTCTGATGTGAATGGTGAAGCGGGTGTCTTCAATCTCAACGTAAATTTCTCTAATGGCATATGCCTTGAGTCGGTGGTTGTTGGCGATAGTGATTTCGCACGGTCACCGCATGCGCCTTGAGTTGCTTTTGAAGGTTAGTGATCCCACCATGTGTTGCCCGCATCAGCTATCAAGATACCAATTGTTGACACTCTCATGGTTCTGACGCGCGGTGCTGGCAATCTTTGGAATGACGATGCGGTTGAAGTATCCGGAGTACGGCGAGAGGTCGATGTAGCTCCGTGCAGAAGACTGGGAGGGGTATCTGTAGTGCTTGGAGGCAATTCGAAGTCAGGTGGGAAGTTGATCAGTCTATCAATCCAGAGACTAAGTGTGGGGTCATTGTTCGGGCTTGGCGTCACGGGAGTGATGGGCACGATTGTTGAGTATTCAATGTTGCCGTAGTATCGGATGCCTCTGTGGTGACACGCAATGCAGCTCGAGACTGACCACTTGCTTTTGTCTTTGGACGAGATGCGAGCTTGCGACAGAGGGTGGCAACATGGTCGCCATCGCGACTGGAGTTGCAAGGGGCGCCACGGACTGCTGACCATATGAGTTGTTACGCCTTTCGTCTGCGGCTTTGCGCTTGTAGCACCAGTCTATGGTGTGGCCGGGTTTCAGTATTTGCAGAAATATCCCTTCTTTTCGTGTTGCTCCTCTTCATTTGCTCCAGCGAAGAACACTAGCTTCTCCTGCTTGTTCTTCTCATTGTACAGGTCGATCTTCTTCTGCTCGGAGAGGAGTGTGGCGCAGAGGGCGGACTCAGAAATAGTTGCTCGAGTGTGGAGCAACGATTGCAATGGCACCAATCGGGTCCAAGACCGGAGAGAACCATTGAGACGAACATGTCGTCAGGGACAGTTCCGCCGCACATTCTAATGTGGTCACGCAGATTGCAGCACCGATTGATATGGTCCCGCCCTCTTCCCTTGTTGCATTTTCACTAACGTCAGTTGACCGAGCAGACGACTCATGGTAACCTGATCTGTTGCCATGTAAATTGCGCAGGTGTTCTCAAGACATCTGCGCAGGGACGCACTCCGTTTTGTAGGAGCGAATGCCAAGCTGCTCGGCGGGGGAGAGGTTTCGGAGAAGAGCACTATACGCGATGAGGGACTCGTGGTAGTACTGATGCTTCTCCTGGATGGTTCTTTTCGTCGAAAAATTGTAGACTCCCATCGTAGTACATCCAAATTTGTGCGGTTGTTGCGAGGAGCTCAAATTTGAAGCTCCACATGTAGAAGTCTTTGCCGCCAAACGAGATTGAAGTCTTCAGCTTCGAAGTCAGAAAAAGCTTTGTTTGCAGCAGGGTCGTCCATAGGGTATGAGGGGTGTCTGATGCATCAGATGGGTCCCCCGGGCAAAAAAAAGTTTTGTCTCATGCCGACTGGCCCATCAGATTAATCCAAAAAAAAACATGTCTGATTGTAAGCCAAACAGACAAAAAATGTTTGCTAGCGACGACCCTGGTTTGAATGGTTGCAATCGTTTCAGACTGTGCGCACTGTCTGTCTTGTGCAGGAGCTGAAGCTTGACGGTTGTCAAAGGTAAATGACCTCTCAGAGTTGACGCGGCGGTCTTCTCTAGGGAGAGGAAGTCGAGCAATTCCTCTTGCGTAGCTTGAGCCATCAATACTCATGGCTTGATGACACTCAAGAGCGTTGATGCGGACGACTAGCTGCTCAACAAGAGCGGTGCTGACGGAAGTCACCGCTCATGGCGCATTTGTCGTTGCTGGTGGTGGGCCTAGAGAGTCCGCAGTGGCTTTTCCTTCAGGGGCCATTAGGTGCAGACATGTAGTAGGTTTAATTTGTAAATTGATAAAGAGTTTGTTCTAAGAAGAACATGAACTTAGCAGGCCTTATAATCCACTCTAGCTCTCATACCATGTTGATATAACTGAATGATTGAAGTGGATAAGATAAGGCTGCTTAGTTAGAAGAAGACAATGAAGTCTTTGTACTGACATTGTTGATAATAATCGAAAGAGAACGAGATGATTAAAAAAATAGAAGTACAAGGGTATAAATAACAACCTAGCTAGCCATGTTACTCTCAGGGGTACATTACTTTATTAACTGATTTGCATAGCTACAGTAACTGCGACTATTACCTTTTTTGACAGTTACGTAGTTGCATCTCGTAACCTCTGATGTGGTTGTTGGTTATCAACGGTCGCGACCGTTGACTAACAACCACTGTTGTCCTTCGGGTGACTCTCGAGCTGCCGCGTACTCTGTATGAGCATATCTCGATACTGGTATAGTGCGTTGCTTCGCTATGCAGTGCCACGCTAGGAGAGAACCTTCGGGAATGTTATAGTAAACGTTCGATTATTTTAACAATGTGCAAAAGGTTGTAAAAACGTGCTCGTGCACATGGGACTCGGGCTTTAATCGCAAGCTCGAGCCCTGTTCAATGTTCTGTTCAATGTTGTTTGTTTCTTGATGTGGCCTTGTTTTGACAAACTTTGGGGGTCCTCTTTCGCGAATTTCACGAAACTGGTTACCTGTCAAAGTTCGAGCAGTTTTTCAAACACTGACCAGCAAGGACACGCGCCCTTGTGAATTTTTTTGGTCTGCCAAGTTCAAGCAGTTTTGGTTTGGTTTGCGGGGGGAGCGCACGAGTCGAACCCAACGGACACTTCTGGGCATAGGGAATCTTGGGTTCGGCGAATCTTGCCTCCCACCTCGTGCGACATCACCTGCACCCTGCATGTTGGAGCCATCGAAATTTCATTGGCGGACGACGCCGCAGGAAAGTATCGCCATTGATGAGTGCACCTGTACGCAAATTTGAATCAACGCCAAATTCCGTCACGGTACGGTGACCGAAATCCGTCATCGTTTTCGTTCCCCGCGAAAAACCCAGAGAGTTCAGTTCCACCCCCAAGAAAGAGTCACCTCACCGACTGACGCAGACGGCGATGACTTGGGAGGACGAGCTCGATTCAGCCAGATTCCAGGCAGGAGCCATTCCTGTCCTTAAGTACATGGTCCCAATGCTGTGCTGTATGCCGATTAGCAACGCACACGGTGCCTTGGCTTCGGTTCGTTGGAGACGATTGGGAATGGCCGTTACGGGTCGCTAGGGATGAAATGCGACGTCGCCTCGACAAGTGTGCGATCCACCCCAATCTCGCTATCGTGCATCGTCAGCCTTCTCCGTAGTTCGATTCTAGATCCGAAGTACGGATGGCGACAAGCTCAATGGCTTCTTTAGCTAGGCTGTTCCGCGTGAAACCCAATTTCGGTTTCTTGCAAGCAACGGGTCTAATCTTGTTTTTATTAGACCTCTATCTAAAGTAAGCACTTACGGTTACACACGACAGCTCGACAGTGGGAGCAGCTATAGTCGGTACATTAGGGTTTCGGCGCAGGAATGTGCAAGTCCAAGGCCAGCTCCTGTTTTCAAGTTCATTCTAGCCGGATGTCGCGGATGGGATTAGCCAGATTTCGCCGTGTCCGCTGACAGATTCTGTTACCAGGTTTCCCGCCCCTAGGTCCGCGCACAGTTTGTGTAGTCACGCTGCATGATCCGTGCTTAGTCTTATATATCCTCCTAACGTCCTTTTTATAGTAGACAATTTTCAGTTTTACCTACGATGTACGGTCTTGAGTCCAGAGGCCACCATGCTCACCAATAGTAGTGCGACGAGTCGTCGCACAGGGACGTCGCCCGCGGCGTCGTCCTGTCGCACGACGACGAATGCCGTCTCGTCGTTTTGTCGCTCAGCGAAGGTGTCGCCGTCGCGTCGTCGCACAGCGACTCCACGGGCTCTACTTCCGCTCGTGCTGCCGCTGCTGCTGCTCTCCGCGTGGCCCGTTCTCCTCTCGCGGTGCGACAGCGATGGCTCAGCGGCATCGCGGAAGCATCCGCAGCAGGTAGTGTCTCTCCCACACACACCTCTCTCCCACACACACCTCTTTCCCACACACACCTCTCTCACACACACACACACACACACACACCTCTCACACACACACACCTCTCTCCACACACACACACACACCCACACACACACACACACACACACTCACACACACACACACACCTCTCACACGCACCTCTCTCACACACACCTTAAATCACACCGTTTTTTCACAGCAGCACCTTATCGCCCATTCAGACCGGAAATAGCAACAATGTTCTTCGACTGTAATGCAAGAGAAACAAGCCTGAGTAGTACGTAATTGAGACGAGACAGCAGCGAGGCGGCCATAGAACCCGTTAATCCATGCCTATGGAACTTCTGTTGCTTAGACGATTACAGAAAGAAGTGGCCTACTTTAGTTGAAGTCGCCCTCGTAGTGGGTCATTTTTTCGTTCAAATTCAACGTTTACTCTCTTAGTAGTCGCGTTTTGTTGACTTGTCCGCCCCGTTACGGGTGTCGGTAGGCATTGCTGTCCGCTGCGAGCGCGTGAGAGCAAAGCCGTTGCTTCCTTCTCCAGAGACCGTTTCGTACGCACGCACAACAACTGGTGCAGTGCTGCTGTGCTCTCTCCCCTACACATCTATCGTTTGCTGGCTTGGTCCAGTTCAATTCCCTTGTGGTGAAGTCAAACGCTGTCATGTTCGCTACATTGATTCCTCGAGCCCAGCGCGTCTCCGCCCATCTCCAGGTGCACGAGCGGCGGCTGCTGACGCAGATGCGCGCGTGGGGCCATGTGCGACTCACTTTCCCTGCAGCAGAGCCGACAACAACAGGGACAGCAGCAAAGGGAGGAGCACTAGCAGCAGCGGCAGGGGAAGCACCAGCAGTAACAACCGCAACAGCAGCAGAAGCAGCAGAAGCAGCTGCAGCAGCAGCAACCGCAGGAGCAGCAGCAACCACAGCAACAGCAAGAGAAACAGCATCCTTGCGATCCCAACCGTTGCCTTCAATGTCGCAGCCTCGGTTCTTCCGCCAGCTGATGGCGCAGGGCCACTCGCCTGAGGGCGTGTACCTGCCCGTCAAACAGGCCATTCCAGAAGAAAGCGAGGACGCTAATAACGGACATGCCATGCGAGATGATTCGAGGCATTTCCAAGGCAGGGTTACTGATAGAGAAGAGGTAAGTGGAGTCATCAGGATGAGGCGCATTTGAAGGGACGGGGGAGGGAGGGAAGGCGGGGCGTCAAGGCAACTCGTCGCCGCGTTCTTTGCACAGGGTGGTATAATGAGATGAGATGTTACTCAGGCGTCTTTCCTTTATGTGTCTCTGGTTCTGCTTTTCCGCGTTCCATGCCCGCCCGCACATGTCCCCACCTCGTTCCTGCTCTTTTGGCTTCTAAGCCAGTTTCATTAGTCACCTCCTTGCTTTGAAGCTGTCAAACTCAGCCTCAGAAATCACACGCTCACTAACCCTCTTGGGTGCCATGCTGCATGCACGACCAGGGCGAGGAGCCCACTCCCCACAACGAGGACAGGCGCGCCAGCTCGCTCCAACACAGCGCTGACGAGGACGGCCAATCACGGCTCCTGCACAGCCTGCCGTGGGCCCCACCAGCAGGCGGGCGGCGCAGGCTGCTGGCTCTCGGCGACGTGCAGTACCCCCTGGATGGCTACTTCCTTAGCAAATCCGGGTGAGAGGGGGATGTGGTGGCGAGAGAGGGGTGGTGAGAGAGGGTGAGGGGCAGAGTGAGTTTTGAGTGGAATCAAATGCCACCTTTGCCTCGCAGACTGCTGGCTCTGGGCGACGTGCAGCACCCTCCGGATGGCTACTTCCTCAGCAAATCCGGGTGCGTGCAGGATGTGGTGGTGAGAGAGGGTTGGTGAGAGAGGGTGAGAGGGGCAGAGTCAGTTTTGAGCGGAATCAAATACCACCTTCACCTCGCAGGCTGCTGGGTTTGGGAGACGTGCAGTACCCCCTGGATGGCTACTTCCTCAGCAATTCCGGGTGCGCGCGGGATGTGGTGGTGAGAGAGGGTGAGAGAGCGGCAGGATAAGTTTTGAGTGGAATCAGATGTCACCTCGCAGGCTGCTGGGCCTGGGCGACGTGGATCACCTTTTTGGCAGCTCCAGCAAATCCGGGTGAGCGAGGGGTGGTGAGCGAGGGATGAGAGGGGGTAAGCGAGAGAAGGTTTGGAGAAAGACGGCACAACCACCTATTTGAATTTGTTCGTCTTCCTGCTTCCTCGCCCCCTGCGAGCAGCCTATACTACGTGCAGGTGCAGCTGGGGTGGCAGAGGCAGCCCGTGAACCTGCAGGTGGACACGGGCAGTGACCTGCTGTGGACGCGCTGTGTCTGCCCCTCTTGCCCTCCGCCCCACCCCGCCACCAATCACACCCAGGTGGGTCTTCGGGGCGTACTGTGCTGTGCCATTTGTCGGATAGATGTCAGATTAGTGTGACGTGATGATAGTGTGTTGGTAGCCCCGCCATCAACTTCACCCAGGTGGGTGTTTGTGGCATGCCGTGCCAGCTGTCGAATGGCTGTCAGACAGCTGTGTCTGTTTCATGCTCTCTCAAAGCTCGTCGCCTGCCTTCGGAACGCATGTTCTATTTTCTATGTGCTTTGTCATTTCGTGTCCAGTCATTGCGAAGGCTCGAAGGCATGCGTCAGTACAACCCTCTTGCCCTTCCTTTTCTCAGTACTACTCCTCCATCTTGCGAGAAGAAAAGGTAGAAGAGAAGTTGATGGATTGATTGAAAGGATGGGGGGTTTACATAGGAGATGAGTTGGAAACTAAGGTTAACATTATTGGACCCCAACCAACGAGTTGGGTTGGGTTGGGTGGGGTCCAATAATGTTGGCCAAGTTGGAGTTGGGCCAACATTATTGGAGGGGACCAATAATTCTACCCATCCCAACCCTTGGGGTCCAATAATTGGACCAAGGTTGGGTTTCCAACCTACAAATTGGGTAACCCCTGCTTGTACACCCAAACTAAGTTTGGGTGCTTATCTCTAGCCTATCCTATAGCATATATGCAGGTTACAAGAGAGGAGATATTCTAACACAACCCCTTAACCTGCAGAGATGCGGAAAGGCTGGAGAGCAGCAACCCCTGAATCAAGGCGCTCCTGGAGGAGCGAGGCCAATGAGGCGGAGGAGAGCAGAGTGCGCGGGGCGAAGAAGTGCTTTGGTGAAGATATCCGCCAAATTGGCTTCAGTGGCGATCTTGCGGACGGCGATAAGATTCTGTCGGACGAGGTCGCGGATGAAGAAATAACGGAGCTCGATATGCTTGGAGCGACCATGAAAGACTGGATCCTGGGTGAGGTGGATGGTGCTGGCGTTGTCACACCAGAGCGTGGGACAGCGCTGGGGGGCACCAAGCTCTGCCAGAAGAAAGCAGAGCCAGCGGGACTCTTGAGCGGCCATGGTGCCCGCATAGAGCTCAGCTTCGCAGGAAGAGAGAGCGATGGCGGAGGAGCGGGTGGAACGCCAGCTGATAAGTCCGCTGCCGAGGGTAAAGCCATAGCCTTGGGAGGAGCGGCGGTCTGGCTGATTGTCTGCCCAGGAGGAGTCACTGAAGCCCGAGAGAAGGGGAGGGGAGGATCCACCCAGTGTGAGAGCGTGATCCTTGGTGCCGCAGAGATAGCGAAGGACCCGCTTGGCGGCAGCCCAGTGTTCCTCAGTGTGACGGTCAGAGTCGACGAACCGAGCAAGGACGCTGACAGGGTAGGCGAGGTCGGGGCGGGTGCACATCATCGCGTACATCAGCGACCCAACGAGCTCGGCGGAGGGGGAGGTGGGTGGCGCAAGTTGGTGACCGAAGGGGAGGGGGGTGGAGACTGGTTTGGCCTGCGCC